TTTTTATTTTATAAATAATATTACATCTATTTATTGATTATAATATTAATACAAAATGAGAAGTGTGTAATATATAATATAAATAGAAAATATAGCTGACACTGAGAAAAAAAATTCATGAAATAACTAAAAGTTAGGAGTTTTAAGGAATTAACCATGAAATTTTGAATTTTGGAAAATAATCATGAGATCCGTAGAGGGGGCTCTGCAGATCCCTTTAATCCTCTGATTAACGATGTACAGTACTACGGAAATAACGTGAAACCACTAAATGACAAAAAAAAAATTGTGGCTATAATGGTTCCGCGGAGGTGGCTCTGTGGATCTATTGTATATCTCTGCGGATCTATAATATTACTGAGGAATTGGTTGGTTTTGACAATTTTTCCGATTTTACACCGTTTTCGATGGTTCCTCAGAGAATTATAGCAATCCGTAAATGTGTACAATAAATCCGCAGAGCCACCTCTGTGGAACCATTATAGCGACGAATTTTTTTTGTCATTTAGTGGTGTCATGTCATTTCCGCAATACTGTGCATCGTTCCTCTGAAGATTAAAGAGATCCGCAGAGCCCTCTCTACGTATCTCGTGGTCATTTTCCAAAACTCAATTTTTTTTTTGGTTATTTCCTTAAAACATCCCCTAACTTTTGGTTATTTCATGAATTTTCTCTGACATATATGCTATTAATCAATTGATAGGGTTGATTCGACTGGGTTAACTCAGTTGACTTAGTGTGTTTGACCAATTGAATTTGACTTTGACCAAGTTTGACCGTGAGGGTATTTTGGGATTTTGATGGAAATTGCTCATTTGGTGGAAATATGTGTCGGTTAGAGAGCTGAGATTCAGAGTCCGGACCTTATCAGCTTCTGTTCAGTTTGCAAGGTGAGTTTTCCTCATTGTACTTGCGAGTCGATGGCACCAATGCCGACCCCGTTGGATTGATATCCTGTTATGCATCCTATTGTTATCCTTAGTGAACAGTTGATATGTCAGTTGTCTATTGGCTGACTATATGTTTATTTTTTATGTATATATGCATATATTTGGTTGATGGTTGAGGCTTTACTGCTTTATGCGTAGGCCAACAGACCGGGGGCATTCCAACCTGATGGTTGAGTAGGCCCGAGGTTATTCCATCCTGAGGATGATAAGACTCGTTGTGTATTGGCGTTCCAACCCGATGGTTGAAGGGCCTAGGGTATTCCGACCCGATGGTTGACTGGACCTATAGTGCATTGGTATTCCAACACGGTGGTTGAAGGCCTAGGTATTCCAATCGGATGGTTGACTGGACTCGACATGTTGTTATTGTATATATGTTATTTGGGTATGTGTTGTAATTTTGGGGGAAACTCACTAAGCGTTGGTTATGTTTCAAGTACTTCAGATGACTGCGGGAAGGCGAAGGCGTGACTATACACATCCTCATGGTTTGGACATATGACTTTGGGAGCTCTGATGTTGAAATGCTTTTTAAACTATGTTTGTAAACAATTGTGAATTTGGTTGGTTTTAAAAAATTTACATTATCATGATTTTTATGAGTGTTACATATATGTATTTAATCATATGTGATTTATGTGATTAAGTGCATAGAATCAAACATGATTATGTGATTATATGCATTCAATCACATTTGGTTGTATGTAGTAGGAGGTGGTGGTATGGTGAAGATGAGTGGTGGTGAAGGTGGGGGGAGAGCGATGGGGGTGGTGGTGACAAGTGTTGGTGGTGGTGGTGGTTGTGGGTGGTGGGTGATAGGGATCATTGGGTGATAGTTAGTTTATTGTAGTTGTGGGTGATAGGTCATGGGGTGGTGAAAGGTGGTGGGCATGACAGGTGGTGGGTGGGTCGGTGGTGGGTGTGTTGATGAGTGGGTAGTGTAGGGTGGTGGTTGCATGTGGTAATGTTGGTGGTGGTCGGTAGTGTTGGTAAGTGGTAGGTGGTGACGATGTTTGGGGTGGTAGTAGTGGGTAGGTGATTGTAGTAGTGGGTGGTAATAATGGGTGGTTGTAGTTGGTGGTGAGGGGTTGTGGTGGGCCTGGTGGTGGTGATGGGTGGGTGGTGGCAGGTTGTGGATGCAAGTGATGATAGATGGTGGTGTGTGATGGTTGGTAGTGGTAGCAGGTAGTGGTTATGGTGGCGTGTGGTGGTGACGGGTGGTGCTGGGTGGTGGTGTTGATAAGGATGATAGTGGTGATGGTGGGTGGTGGGTAGGTGGTGGTGGTAGTAGAAGTGATAGGGTGGTGGAGGCGAGTAATGGTGATTCGTGGGTGGTAATTAGTGGTAGTGGCAGGTAGTGGTGTTGATGGTGGGTAGGTGGTGCTAGCAGGTGGTAGTTGGTGGTAGTGACAGATAACGGTGGTGATGGTGGGTGGTAATGGGTAGGTGGTGGTAGTGGCGGGTTAGCGGTGGCGGTGATAGGTGGTGGCAGGTGATGGAGGTGGGTAATAGTGGATGGTGGTGGTGACGGGTGGCGGTGGTGGTGGTTGGCGGTGGTTAAGGAGGCTATTGGCGATGGTTAGGTGGTTGGTGATGGGGGTGGTGGTGGTTGATGGTGATGGGTAGGTGGTGGTGGTGGTGGTGATGGTGGGTGATGGGGTAATGGTGGTGGGTGATGGGTGGTAGCAAGTGGTGGAGGTGGGTGGTGATGGCGAGTGGTTGGTGGTGGTAGTGGGTTGTAGGTTGTGGTGATGGGTGGTGATAAATGGTAGGTATGGTGGTTGGTGGGTAGTGGTGGGTGGTGGGTTGTAAGTGGTGGTGGATGGTGATGGTTGTGGTAGGTCTTGTTGGTTAATGAGTTTTTTTTTAATGTTTTTAACTACTTTTTGATTTAGATGAATATTATTTTATAATTTTAACTAAAGAAAATTATATGGTCCAAATTTATATATAAATATGTATATTCATATATTAATAAGTATATAAACAAGTGTTTATTCATATATTAATTTGGAGGTCGTGGTTGGTGGCGGTAGTGGATGGTGGTTAGTGTGAGAGGTTGTTATGCTGGCAGAGGTGGCAGTGGTGGTGGTGTTGGTTGATGACGGAAGGAAAGTGGTTGATTCATATATAAATATACTTACATTTATACTAATATATGAATATTACACATCATCCGTCGCGCCAGTACGACGAAGTGTTTTCCAACAAAAATAAATGATTGAATGAGAAACATCCTTTCATTCTTAACATTTAGTTTTCTCTCTCTCACTCTCTCTCTCTCTCTCTCTCTCTCTCTCTCTCTCTCTCTCTTAGGCCCAATCCTGACCTATCAGAGGCCTTATGCAAAAATCAAAGTGAGGCCCCATAAAAGTTTTCTTGTAAAATATTATTAAGTTTATGCTACCACTAAATTCAAAACTCAAAGTTGCTAACAAACATCTTGTAAATTCATTACCATAACATTATATCTTCACTCATTAGATGTTACAGTTTCTATGATTATACATGTTCGTTGGAATATCTTCTTTGTCATTATCATTAGTTCATTACCATTCAAGGTTGCTATGTCTTCATCTACACAATGTATATCTTCTGGAACTTACAGTTCAACTTCTGATTCTCTAGGTTCTTCCAGGACATCATGAACTTCTTCTCTATCCTTTTCAACAACTTCATGAACTTTATCCATGTTTTGTAGCACATGTAATTCAACTTCTTCTTCTCTATGGTCTTCCTCAACCGATTCTTCATTAAGATGGTAAAGCTATAAAACATAGTGATAGCGTGATATAGACAATTCACAAGATACTATACTATGGGAACCTTATATACCAAAACACTGAAAAGATAAATCTATAAAGCATATTGATAGAGGGTTAAACGCAATTCACAAGACATTATACGATATAATGGAAAAACCAAGAACATTGTTTTTTACTTTCTCTACTTCATTATTCATAAACTTTATTATGAATTCATAAATAAACCATTCAAATAATAAATAAATAAATAAAAGATTATTTAGCCTATAAGAGAAAGAAGTAAGTACAATTCAGTTTTGGGAAATATAAAGAGATAAGTGATAATATGCTATAGTTAGAGAGTCAGTTAGAGCACTAGATTAGATGAGGAAAAGAGGACTACCAACAACTCACAGAGATATGAAGATTCAAGATAGAAAAACGACATTTCCGACAAGAGAGATGAGCAACACCGATGATCTACCAGTTTCGTTATGAGGTTTATTAAGGTTTGATCTTTTAGTGAGTTTTGTAAAAATTATAGCATTTTCTTGAATATATACTAGAAACATGTTTTTGTTGTTTTGATAGATACTTTCCTTAAATTGTTGATAAATTATAGAGATTTTTTTTATTTTCATTGATTTTTTTTCATATTAAAATTACTTCAAAATTACAACCAACTATTACATTTTGTATCCAACTAACAATAAATTTTATTTAATAAAATCACATAAAAATGTTATGAAGAAACCAACACCAAAAGGTCCAAAACTATATATTATTCCTAAATTTTGAGGCCTTTTGAAATCGGAGCCCTCCAATGCACCACTCACACATCCAACGGCTCTCTCTCTCTCTTTCTCTTTATCTCTCTCTCTCTCTCTCTATATATATATATATATATATATATATATATATATATATATATATATATATATATATATATATATAAAATCGTGATAATAGGTCGACCAAAATGTCTTAAATGACATGAAAGCAACTAATCAAAGCCTCACATGCTAGTTTTATAATACTCATTTTTCAAGCTGTAAATTTGTCGTTTTCAAACGAAACCAAATGATCTAATATATATATATTATATATATATATATATATATATATATATATATATATATATATATATATATATATATAGAGAGAGAGAGAGAGAGAGGACTAAATTTTATGTTACATATATATAGCAAGGCAATAATAGATACGATATCATCTCATTCGAGCACTTGAGCTTTACTTCCATGGAAGTCCAAGTCTTCTTTCCTATTTTTCTTTGATCATCTAAAGTATGTCCGACCAAAATCATTTTGAACACCTTAGAATACACCTTGCAGATATAAATAATGCAACTGCCAACTTTTCTAAAGCCTGTCGCATTGGGGGAGGTGGTTTTGGGGAAGTTTATAAGGGTGAACTCATCCTTCATTCACGGGGGCAAACGGTTGCTTTCAAACGTTTAGATCGCAAATATGGGCAAGGAGATCGTGAGTTTCGGAATGAGATCCTTTTGCTTTCTGATTACAAGCATGAAAACATCGTGTCACTCTTAGGGTTTTGCGACGAGAGTAAAGAGAGGATTCTTGTTTACGAGTACGCATCTCGAAGAGGTCGTGACATGTATCTCAACAACAAAGATCTAACATGGCCTCAACGCCTTATGATATCCATTGGTGCGGCATGTGGACTGGCGTTCCTTCATAGTGATGTTGGCACCCAACAAAAAGTATTTCATCGTGATGTTAAAAGTTCTAACATCTTACTTGACGATAATTGGAATGCCAAGATATCTGATTTTGGTCTCTCCAAATTTGCTCCAACTAACAATAACATCTCAATTCTTTACACCAATCCAGTAGGCACAGTGGGTTATTGTGATCCGTTGTATCTAGAGACGGGGTTCCTAACAAAGGAGTCAGACATTTATTCATTTGGTGTCGTGTTGTTTGAGGTTTTTGTTGGGTCTAATACAAACAATCCTATGTGTGCATGCAACCCTAGTATTGGATCTATGTTTTCACTATTAGTTATACAGCTTTATGAACACAAAAAGAAACCTGGCATGCTACTATAATTTTCGAAATTCATATATAAAGCTAGAATACATACCTTTTGTTGTTATATAGCAATAACAACTAGTTCCTTGAATTTCCTTAGCTCTTGAAAGCAAGTACCACAAGTGTAGTACCTCTAATGGAGTCACAAACACCATATGCAACTTGGATGAAGAGGAGAAGAAAAAGAGGCACCAAAACGGCTAGAAACCCTAATGAGAATCAGTTGTCCACGTTTTTGGGGCCTAAGGGGTCCTTTATATACTAGTGTGGGCTGTTAGGGTTTCAGTCAAAACCCTAATGGACAGCTTAAACTCTAAGCAGCCCATGGAACCTTCTGGACAAGGCTATGGACGAAAATATGATGGGCTTCCATCATAATTTCGTTCACCCCTTATTCCTTTAGCATTCCTTAGCCCAATAACTCAATTATCCAATAATTGCAGTCCAGTCCCCTATATTTAATTAATCTCTTTTAGCCACAAAATTAATTCTTAATTAATTCTTGACTAATATTAATTAAACAATATGATTTCTCCTTTAATATATTATTCTCATAATATATTAATAAATCATATTTAAACCTTTCTCTCCTTAAATCATCCTACATATTGCTATGGTGAAGGCAACCCAAAAGGACCATGCTCATAATCGGGTCAAGTACATACCAAAATAGTTATGGACTTAGACACTAATCCAACAGTCTCCCACTTGGATAAGTCTAATAACTATTTTCCGTATGACTTCAGAACCTGATCAGCAATCGTAGCTTTCAAAAGCCGCTGTCAACTCTGATCTTATCAGATAGCGTGTCCTCTAGATAAGGGATTATATATTCCTCCATTCTCAAGATATCGTATAGACAAAAGACATGAATTTCAATCATTCTCTCTATACTGTTTCCCGACTTCCGATTTATGACGACTGACAACAGACTACAATTGAACACATCAACTTAGTCCCGGCTTGGCCAAGCGCTTAGGTGTCATCACTAAATCATCGAGAGGCCCACAATATCGCTTTTATCCCACTTTGGGTAAAAGGAATGGATAAACTTTGACTCAAATGCTCGCTTGCATTTACTGATCGAATCACACACAACAATAAGTTTTATAACACCAAGTTACTGGTGCGTTTACTTATTATCAATGTGCAACCGACCAACAAATAACAACTCACATGTCTCGGTTTCAAGAATATACAATATTATCGTCTCACTAATCACTCGTGATAAAACCATGAAGTGATCCAAGTGAGCGTGGGTTTAATCCAATACTCTAATCTTATCAAAGCACTCATGAACTCTGCAGCAAACTTGTGCCATGTCTAAACACTTCAGACAATCTACAGACACATTCATGACAGTCTTTCTTCATACCTACTCCCAACGTATAACCGACTGTGGATGTTTGAATAACCTAGTTATTCTGGAAGTCAAAACATGCAAAGTGAAACATAACAACAATACTTAATCCTATATGGCCCCAAACTTGTGAGAGTAAATAAAACCCTTCTATTTATCCACCATATTGATTACTCATTATTTATCATTTAATGTTTCGGATAATCAACTCATTACTTGAATTATACCAACAATTGTCCCATGCTCTAAACATGCACACTTTGTTTCCTATGGTCCATGCTTTGTGAAATAGATCACCTGAAAACTTTTCCAATGATGCTCATTTCACAATTCCTTAATCCTAATTATTAGTGTAAGAACACAAGGTTCTTGCCACTACTAGAATATGCTAGATTCTAACATTTTATGCAACGATCCCTTTGCAAAATCATAGCACAAAAGTCACCAAGACGTAGCTAATGAAATTACAAAGTACTTTCTTAGAAATTGTTACAAGACAATTCCATAGATGTGAAGTCTCACATTCAAAGTACATTCCTTTGAACATCCTTCTTGCATAAAAGTTTCTAATCTAGGCATAGACTCTCAATTCCAACTCCCAATATGGAAACATTTCCACATTTTCCATATGACAACTCATTCTTAATAGAATCTTATCTATTCATAATAATGTCGATATGGTCCATCCAATACCATACTTCCAACTACTTACAAGCGATCAATCCTCAGCGAACTTTGGATCGTCCTTTGATAGTTGTTAAATTCTTTCAGTCAAAACCAATTCTATTCCTTTTTCCCTCTTAATGCGCTAGACATTTGGAAAATTTTAGAATGGTAAAATACTATAGCATTTACAATCGATCCTATACCCGAAGCGTATGGGACACGATGCATAATGTCTTACATAAAGATATGATACTTTACCAATCTTTTGCCATAATATTTTATGTGTCATGTTCTCACAATTCGAACTATGAAGAGGGATGCCGTAATCATAATCGAATTTTAAGAACACACAATGTATCCTTTGACTGAAAATATTAAAATTTCTTAATCTAAGCTTTAGATTTTGAAACGGAGTATAATATTCTCTCCCTTAATTATAGCAAAACAACTTTTCAACCCATGCAACTTTGCAAATGGAATCTTTGTTTTTCTATAATTAATATTGCTAACTTGCAATACTTTCCATAATAATCATACAATCATAACTTTTATGCTCCCACTATCATGATGATTACTATAAAACATAACACTTATGCTCCCACTAGCTTCGACATGTATTCATAAACATCTTAACTTTCAGAAAGACAATAACTATTGAATTTCTTAAGTCCATGTTTCTAATACTTAGTGCTTTGATAATCTTTTATCAAGGCTTCTTGAACTTATACACCTTTGCCTTAGATAGTTCATATGTGTGTCTTAACAATTAAGACTAATTGCCAAACCTCACAATTCAAATTATGGAAAGGGATACCGTAACCATGATCGAATTCGAGAATGCAATTTTACAATCACTATCTTCTTAAAATCTTTCTCAGTGAAAGCATTTCCTCACAATCATTTTCATGAAGGAGGAAATCTTATGACACTTAGATTTAAATGGTGTATTTGTTCCTATCCATGTGAATTTGTTAAAACCAAAGTTTATGACAAATTCAAACTCATATGGACTGACCTTTCTTAATCTTGATTTCTTGCCTTATGGTAGCACAACTGCCCACCACGTCTTCCAAGTAGTTAAGCAGCTCACCCTTTCTTATCAATGTACTTTCATTGATCAAGGTCCTTTCTTTTTATGCATTCAAATGAGAATTCATAGAACTCACATGCATAATTAACTCGATTGGATTGGCACAGAATCAAAATAATGTCAACACGATAGGTTGTAAACCTCAACTCGTGCGCTAGTGATGATCGATAAGGTTTATTTGATTTGTTCTTGAAACTTTTTCAAAACATTAAAATCCCACTGACCTCTTGACATATATGATTCTCTTTTCAAGAAACATTTCTTGACAATCAAATATTCAAGAGTCAGTGCAGTTATTATCAAGACAAGAACACTTCACAAGTTGGTCCTAGTTGGTCTTTGTCTTATCCAAGACATCACAACTTACCAATCTCAAATGTACAAGAATAAGAAAACTTTTCCAAGTTCCATATTTGATGAGTGTTATAAACCTACTTAAAACTTTTCACTCAATGTCACAATCTTGACTTTAAGACTTGATATTGGAACGAAGTATGATTGACTTCTTGATTTAACCATTTCTACAATACTTGATTCCTCTTCTTAGACATGCAATTGCACTAAGACTCACTTAGAGGATCTATTGAGACATGGTTCTTAATCTTTAAGACTTATCATAAAACACAATAAAAGGTACTCTCCCTTCTTCCTAGAAAAGAGAAACTTTTATCTTTCTGCCTACTCGATTCTTCTTTATTCGTTCTACTATTCATTGAAACTCTTTCAATCAATCTCAGAATTACACTTAATCTTATAAGTATAATCACATTTACTAAACTTTAGTAAATCATGACGAATATCTTTGTCACTCTTGTGGTGGACTTGATCAACGCACAACCTAGTGTACTTGATCTCCTAGTCCTTCAACTGACACTTTGCCAAAGAATTAGTCTAAGTTTCCCAAATGTGAAAGTTTTCCATTCATCATACAATACACATTGCATGATTCCAAGTTTCTGTCCAATTGAAACTTGGGCGATGAGAAAGTCTCCCTATTTGGTACACTTTTGACATTTCCATAATTAAGAATCAAATCCATTTTGCTAATAATAGAAGTACATGAACATCAATTTTTCATATATTTCATTGTAAGGATAAATAAATAAGACAAAATCAAAATTTATTTTATTGCGGAAAAAACTTGTCCTTACAATGCAATTCAATTGAAAAACTATGTTAACAATCTATTCTAACTCCAAGTTGTAGCTCAAGAATCCATTCTTCAAGTAATGCGATCGAAATCCATTTCTTCATGATCAGATTCAGCTCACTTCTTTTCTCAAGCTTCCTCTCTTTTCTTCGATCCTACAAAACATCAAAATGTAATCTTATCACATCATGTATTAAGAATCTAGAATAGGAACTTAAAAGAGTTAGTTAATGGATTTACCTGAAGCAGAGCCATACGTCTTGACTCTCCCATCTCTTAGATCTCTCAGGTAATTAGGGCAGCTTCGTCTCCAATGCCCCTTCTCTTGGCAATAAAAGCAAATAGACTCCTTTGGCACAACACATCGGACAATCACAGACTTAGTTCTTTCTGGACTTCCAATGTTGCCAGTGTCCATTGAAGTTTGGGAGTTTGATTCACTAGACAAATTTGCTTGACCAGCACGCCAAATCATTGCTGATTCAGCAGCTATAAGCAAATAGGTGAGATCAATTAGGGTCACGTCGTGGTCCATCATATAGTACTCTCTAACGAACTCACTATATGATTCAGGAAGTGACTGAAGAACCCAGTCAACAGCCAACTCACTTGAAATCTCGACACCCAACATGTTTAACCTATCAATGTATGACTTCATCTCTAAGACGTGCGCACACACAGGTTTCCCATCTTCGTGTTTACTTGCCAAAAGGGCTTGAGTGAGCTTGAACTTTTCAAGCCTTTGAACTTGTGGGTCAGGGAGAATAATTGGAGGAGGTGGAGGAAGTGAAGCATGACTCTCATTTCCTTGATCGTATCTCGGAACGTCATCTTCATTTGGAAAGCTTGTTCCAAAGGATTTGGGAAGACCATTGTAAGATTCAGACATCTACAAAACGGGAGAAAATTCAAGTTAAGTTGATTAGAATTCTTGATGCAACACCCAAATGAAACATCAAGCTAGGATCCAACACAATACTCTACAACCTAGAAGAGGGATGCCGTAATCTAGTTGCAGAATATTTGAAGGTAGGTAAATGACGATTTACCAATTTCCACCATGAAAAACGAAAAAGAAGTTTAAGTTTTAAATGAATTGAAACTCCTAGATCTTTTGAGACTCATTGAACTCTTCAATGGCATGTTTAATCTCGATTATGCCCTACTATTCGTGACTGGGATGCCGAGGATCACAAACAAGGTGTAAATAACCATACGAATCACGTGGTGCACCCAATGCTACTATCACCTAATCAATGTGCCGGTTAGCCACACACGCTCCATTGATCTATGATAAGCATCGAGCCACCCTTTGCCACCAATGTCATCCCCAAATTAGTGTGCCGGTTAACCACACACGCTCCACTAACGTTTGACAAGGGTACGAAGTGTAATTCCATGGGTTAGCATACAATTTCACATTTTGCCTAAAGTAACTATGATTTGGGAATTTAAAAAAGCATTTAGTTACTTTGTACTTCATTATACTTATAATGGAAGGTTTCTGTCCTATCCTACCCGTTCGGCTAACGACCCTCCACTAGTCAAGAGTGCGGTGGGTAAGAGTGGATACCCATTCAATCGCCATTTTATAGGCAATTTCCTTAAACACCCCTTATAGACTAGCTTCGTGAATGAGGCCTACTAACGGTAAGACTGAATTTTTAGTTATACATATATAATATTAAACTTTTAATGTTATATATAGTATAAGGGTGTATTTTACACTTTTAAAATACTAGGTGGTTTAAATTATACTTTTAATTAACCAAAATCATTATGGATTTATTAAATCTCTTTTAATTATACACTTAATTAATTTAATAAAACCATAAGGGTTTAATTTGAACTTTTCAAAATCAGGGTTTTGGAATTTAGACTTTCAAAATTAACTTTTAATCAACAATTTAAATTCCAAAACTTGAGGGCAAGTTTTGAAACTCTTCAAAACAATTAGGTTTTAATCTCACTTAAAATTTTCGAATTTAAGACATTTAAATTAAAATTTTAAATATTAAAACTCTTGATTTAATAATTACCATAAATTAAACAATTAATTTAAATTATTAAATCACAAGGGATTATCTAGATCATGAGGATAATTACCAATTATACATCTAAGATATCCTAATCCCTTGAATCCCTCTCTAAATCTCGAAAATAAGGGATGGGATAATACAAGATCTTTAATTACGATATTTAACAATAATTACAAGATATGAGATTATCCAAATCCCTAAAATTTAGGATCTAACCTTGGGGAAGGAGGTAATTTCGAAATCCAAGTGTTGGATAACCCTAGATTTCAAAATCTTGGAGGCTAAGGAAAGGATTTGGGAAACCCTAGCAAAAATCGCCATCTAGGGTTTTGCAACCCTAATTGCGAAAATTACCTAGCCTTTAGGGTTTATTAGCCATAAACCCTAATATGTCAAGTTCACAAATTTGAATAAAAGCTAATTGAAAACAAAAACCAATGGCTCTGATACCACTGTTGGGTCTAATACAAACAATCCTATGTGTGCATGCAACCCTAGTATTGGATCTATGTTTTCACTATTAGTTATACAGCTTTATGAACACAAAAAGAAACCTGGCATGCTACTATAATTTTCGAAATTCATATATAAAGCTAGAATACATACCTTTTGTTGTTATATAGCAATAACAACTAGTTCCTTGAATTTCCTTAGCTCTTGAAAGCAAGTACCACAAGTGTAGTACCTCTAATGGAGTCACAAACACCATATGCAACTTGGATGAAGAGGAGAAGAAAAAGAGGCACCAAAACGGCTAGAAACCCTAATGAGAATCAGTTGTCCACGTTTTTGGGGCCTAAGGGGTCCTTTATATACTAGTGTGGGTTGTTAGGGTTTCAGTCAAAACCCTAATGGACAACTTAAACTCTAAGCAGTCCATGGAACCTTCTGGACAAGGCTATGGACGAAAATATGATGGGCTTCCATCATAATTTCGTTCACCCCTTATTCCTTTAGCATTCCTTAGCCCAATAACTCAATTATCCAATAATTGCAGTCCAGTCCCCTATATTTAATTAATCTCTTTTAGCCACAAAATTAATTCTTAATTAATTCTTGACTAATATTAATTAAACAATATGATTTATCCTTTAATATATTATTCTCATAATATATTAATAAATCATATTTAAACCTTTCTCTCCTTAAATCATCCTACATATTGCTATGGTGAAGGCAACCCAAAAGGACCATGCTCATAATCGGGTCAAGTACATACCAAAATAGTTATGGACTTAGACACTAATCCAACAGTTTTGTGTGGGAGGTTATGTATTGGTAACAAAAAAGTGGGTGAACATTTTATTCAGTTGGTGAAAAATGCATGCGAACAACATAAGCTAAATGATATTGTGTGTGCTCATCTCCTACATAAAATAGGTCCTGAATCACTAAAGGAATTTACAACAATCGCGTATCAGTGTTTGATGAAAAAACGTGAGGAACGTCCGTCAATGAATGAGATTGTGGAAGCACTTAAAAAGGCACTCGACTATCAAGTATGTCCATATTTTTCTTAACCCTATATTTTCATTATAATTTTTAAAATTCTAGAAAAAGAAAGATGTGTTGGGGAAAATTTTATATCGAAGCACAATATATATTGTTAAAATCCTGACAAGTAATTGATTAATCTCTGATAAGCCTGTAAGCACTATCCGATGAATTAGTCTCTACCTAGACAACGAGTTAATTGTAAAGTTGTTAATTTTTTTTTAATATTTTTAAGAAGTTTATCTTAATTGACATTCTGAAAATGCTATATTTGAGATATTTCAACGTGGATTGAATTGACTACTTAGCTGTTTTGGCTTTATGGGTATAGGGATAGTCCTTTAGTAGAAATTGGCCTCATAAAAAGATTTCTCCAAATGAAGCCCTAAATGTTTTTCTTGGTCGGTAGGGCCTTGTGGTAAATAAGGTGTGTTCCGGATACAATTTTTTGAAGTTTCTAGTTTTTAGTTTCGAAGAAAAAAATATTCGGAAAATTTTTTTCATTTATCAGCATCAATTTATAGCTTTTGCCTTTTAGGATAAACAAATAGCTTCCAAAAGATACTTCAACTAACTTTTAACAAAATAACTATTTTATATTTTAACAATTGCTTAAATGTCATTTAAAATATATAAGTCTTATTCATATTTTTGTTGATAATTAATTATCTTATACGATTAAATATAAATATATATTAACAATTCTGATGTTTTTGTTTGAAAAAACCATAACAACTGATTTTATAATTTATTAATCTCCATCAAACGAAATAATAAATATTTATTATATAAATTTATAAACCAAAATTATTATCATACAATAGTATTACATGATGCACTTATACTATGTAAAAAATTATTTGGTATGAATGCAATAAGTCTTATTCATTTTATTCGTAAAAAAATCTCTATTTATGCTATATTTGTGGTATTGGCTGATAAGATAGATGTTAGCCGAAAAAACTAGCTATAGTATGAAAAGTTAGTTGACATTTGAAAAAGTAGCATATAAAAAATTATGCTCGGTAAAATTAGCCGCTAACTAGCTAAAATATTAAAAAAGAACATTAAAGGGTATTTAAAAAAAGTGTTTTTATAATTATTTAAGGTTATATTTGGAGAATTTTTAAAAACTCCTGAAATGTTAGTTTATGGTTGTTTTTTGCATCATATCTAGTTTATAAACTAGCTTATCTTTTGAGTTTGTTGTTAAGTTGTGTTTGGCAAAACAAATATCTTTGATTAATTATGAAAAAAAAAACATATTTTTCTAAATGCCTTTTTATTTCATTTTATATTTTTCAATTAGTTTATAAGCTAATAACTAATTTTTCAGTTATCAATTTTGATTTTTAGTTATCAGCTAACTTTTTAGCTAATACGTCAAACATAATCTAACTATTTTTTAAAAAGCTACTTATAAGATACTTTTGGATTGTCAAATATAAGAAATTAATCATCTTAAAAAATAAGTTATTTGTGGAATGCAATCTTACTAATATGCATAAAAACATTTTTACAAATTAAGAAAGCTTAATCGGTGAGCTTTTTATTAAAAGTTGGATGGCTTTTAATGTTTGATAATTAACATTTTTACAAATTAAGAAAGCTTAATCGGTGAGCTTTTTATTAAAAGTTGGATGGCTTTTAATGTTTGATAATTGTAATTTAGAAAAGTTAATTTATCATCATTATAGTTCAATTTTAGTTTATATATCTATATTTCTTTCTATTTAATTTTACATATCTCAAAAATTTGTTGCTACATTTGCCGATCACTGTTATATAAATAGTAGTTATGAATTCTACTTTTCACACCAACTTCTACTTTCACTAAAGACACCCATAGTGAACAACAAAAAATCATTTAGCTCTTAAAAACATACAAAAGAAAGCATTTAGCTCTTAAAATACAAAAACTAATATCCTAACTTAAAAGTGAAAAGAATTTGTAACAAAAAGTAAAAAAATAGAATTGAGGCGTTACATAATCTCCGAAATAATAAATAAGCCCTATGAACCCCCATCTAACTATTCAGCAACTAAATTTCGAATGTATAACCTCTATATTTATATGTTTTCGTAAAATATGATTCTATTTAATAATTAGATTATTATTTTTTCAAATGTATGATTTTCTTAAAATTAACTAAATCCTTGATTTTGTTTACCCTATAAATTAGGTAAATTATTTATATGATTTTGTTCAATTTTGTTAGGTTTATGAGTAGTTTGAATTTTAAAAGTTTATGAATAACATTTTAATGTTTTATGAATAGTTTGAATTTTGAATGTCTTTAAATTAGTAAATTATATAAATTTTGAACTTTTTTTAGAATCAGTAGATTATGTAAACTTTGAAACTCTTTTATGTAAACTTTGAAAGCCTTTGAATTAGATGATTCCAACATTCTTACATTAATTCATGACAGTCGAAACAAAGAACATATTGTTTTTCTTATTGATTTTAATTTAATTGTGGATTATTTTTTATTTTTTATTTCTATTGGAATCGGACGAACAATCATTTTTTGGATCCGTCACTGACCATGCATTGTAAAATTCAAGTAAATTTAGTGCTACTGAACATCTTTGTTGCCCTTAAAAAACATCTCTTGTACATTTACTTCTTTCTAACTTCATATCTAGCTTTGAAATAAATACAAAAAAATATCTCATTGCTCCATTCTTGCGAAAATATATTTTAGATGCTTTACATGAGTCATTTTAATGATTTTTCTTGATTTTGTCTTTCAGCTTTCACCGGACAAAGCATATAACCCTGAAACCATACTTGTGCAAAGAAAGATTTATCTACCTCGTATTTTTGTAAGTTCATTTTCGGAGTGCACAAAACTTGGTGTGGCTTGAACAAAATCTTTTACACTTTGCTGAAACGACCTTATTTAAATAAAACATTTATGTTGTGTTTGCTTTCAGAATGGCGTCCTTGCTTTAGATTCTTCTATTATGGATGTTGGTCAGATTAATGATCTTTTAAAAGTATTACCTACGAGCGAAGAAAGGGATATGTTGAAGGTACTACTGTCTTCTCTACTCTTGCTTTTGTTTCTCCATTATATGCGTATAGAATAGAGAAGTTTAAAATTTTAACATATAATCTTGAGGGATATGTATTGCTCACTTAAGCTTGTACTCCCTACATTCACTCTCTTTTCTTACTATGTACCTCTTTGAACATAATTTTTATGATGTTGAAAGATAAGTACCAACTTTTTTAATGTAAATAACTAATATAGATTCGATATAATGCCTTTTCTGATTTAGAGGTGATTTTGATCTTATGTTATGTAGATTAGTTAACCTCAAAAGACTTATTACTTTTTCCAAATCAGATTTCTATTAAAATTCAGTTTATAAATTCCTATCATGAAAACTTCTTAAAATTAACAAATTTATCATCATATATATTTAATATCTTTAAAATCACTCCTTGAGTTTGACAATTTGAACAAATGTTATATTTGTCAAATAAATATTAGTTTACATTAATGAAATAGTTTTATGTAAAACATATACATTTTTATTTTATATATTAAATAAAATATATTAGCTATTCAAAAAATACTTATTTGATTCGTAAATACAAATTAGGGTTTAACATCAGATAATATTAAATACAGGGAGTAAAATGTATAAAATGAATAAGAAAAGAGAATAGTGAAATGGAGGAGGAAGGAAAAATATGGTTTAGAAAGGGTGTGATACTTCGATTGTTTGTAGAATTTTTGGCCCCTCCGAATTCAAAACACTCTTAATGTTGAATTGTCTCTTAATGGTTCTGTTAAGAGGTTTATAAAACAACACCTTAGCAGCATAATAAATAATGTATGCTACATATTTTTCCAAGAGGTTGCCTCTTAATGGTTCCATTGAGAGACTTACCAAACAACCCCTTAGCAACTTAATGTCTACTATATATGTTGCCAAGATTAAATCTTACTTTATATCTCAGGGCTACACGGGAGACAAGGAAATGCTTGGAGAGCATGGTCAGGTATTGTTAGTTTTAACTAGAAGTAATATTAATTAACTATTAAAAGATGTTACTCATGTAAGGGGTTATTATACTTGGTCTTTTAGTTCGTCTTGGAGTGTGCGAAGATCCCAAGGATAGAGACCAAACTACGATTGCTCAAATTGAGAATTACTTTTAGCAGTCAGGTGAAGATTCTTACAACAAAAGTTTATAATATGAAAAAATTAAGGCTTAGAGAAAATGATGATAAAGATTTATGTTGGTCTAGAATGTTTATTGCCTTGACTTCAAATTATTGCAGGTAAAAAAAATTACAAGATACCTGAACATAGTTAAAGAGGCTACTAAAGAGGTAACTTTCATCTAGGGTTTTTGAATCTCATATTTTACTTCAATGAGATCAACTTCAATGCAATGAACTCTTTAAAAGTTCAATGGATTATCACATTACGATTTCACTAACTGTATTGTTTTACCCATTAAACTCTACATTTTATTAAACTATATTAAAATTTAATGGATTGTCACATCAATATTTTATTATACATTTTATAATTAATATTAATATGTAAAACTAGAATACTACATTAAATAGTAATTAAAAGTTACAAATTACAACTTATTGATTAAATATTACAAGTTAAAATTTAAAGTTACCAATAATACATTTAATAAAAAGTACGATATCTAAAATATAAATTTTATTATACATTGTATTTTATTTTAATCTTGTCGCAACAGTTATATTATAATAAATAAAATGTTATGGTTTTAAAATATTTATTAAGATTTAAATAATTTTTTTATTGTTTAGACATTATAATATAAACTAAGTTAATAAATAAAATTGTTGAATATAAAGTATATTAAATTATAAATAAAATATAATTAAAAAATAATGATATATATATTTTTTCTATGACAAAAAAAAAATGTTGGCTTCTTTAAAACAAAAATACATGATGGGGTGATTTAATTGGCCAAATTTATATATATTTTTTCTATGGCAAAAAAATGTTGGCTTCTTTTCTTTTAAACAAATATACATGATGGGGTGATTAAATTGGGCAAAGAAAATAAAAAATCCCATACGGTCGTTGAATGAGAATTAAACTCTTATTCCTTTCTACCCACAATTGTACCTCTTCACCTTTTTCCCATTAAGTACGTATCATCTATTATGCAATGCACTAGTCAGCTTGGTTTTTTTCTATGACTTCTCATAGAGTTGTTTTAATGTGATGCTTTATTGTCATTGTTCAAAAAAAAAAAAAAAGTTTTCTATATTACAAAGTTTTTTTTAACCTACATAATCTAGATCATGGAATCAGAAAAGCTAGCTAGCATAATGAAGGAATATGATCAGATATTAGAGCGAACATATAGAGGTACAGTAAGAAAGCGTTGCAGAAATGTGTTCATATTATATTTTGTTTCTATGTTTCATAGTATGACATATATCATGCATCTATGTTGCAGGACACCTGAATGGACTTTGGTTTAACAATATTCGGTTTCCAAAGGAGAAAGATATATTTCTTTTGTACAAGGTATAAGTTGTTTCGTTGACATTTGGTTTTCTTGTCACACTAGCTAGCTTTTTTTTTTTTGAACTGGCAATATATAAATATATACTGTATTCCTAAACTAACACTTAATTTCACTTATGTCCACCACGGACTTGAACCCTCAACATCAAAGATAGAGGGCACCACCTGATACCGTTGGGTGAGAAGTCATTTGGTTCTTGTCACACTAGCTATGAGTTAATTAAAGGTCAGGGTGTACCAATGGGCCAATAACATAATGTTAATGAGTGACTATTTCAAATAAGAGCTTATAGATTCAAGTCTCAGTAAGAGACATAGGTGATATTTACAAATATTATTAGTTTTCGGTCTCAAAAAAAATAAAAATAAATCAAAGGCGATGCTAAATGAAACTATACTATGAAGAGACATGTGTGTGTGTTGCTATCATGTGTTTTTATGCTTTTTTTTAGTTTAAGGTCACCCTTAGATAATTAATTACAACGAAGTTAAAATTTATGATATCGACTTTCCTTGTGTACTTGAGTTGGAACCAAGAGACTCTAATATGATATACTCATGTAAACCAAGTATACTTTGGTTGCAAGGGAAAGAGAACCAATTGAAGGCAATCAAAGAACATAAAATTCATTTGCTAAAAGTTTTAGTAAATTTCATGTCATTTTAATGTGTCATGTTGTGATTTTGGATACTTAAATACTACTATCATCACTTGCATATAATATAGGAGGGTAAGGAGAAAGGAGCATATTGGTTTGATTTTGACAAGGATTTGCTTAACTTGGATGATGCCTCTAAGGTAAATCACATACTTTAATACTAATAGAGTTTCAGTTGTTAGTAACTAATGGGGATGTCTAATGTAGACTCATGTTGTTTAATTACAAAAGATAGACTTTAAAGAACTGCGTAAGAACAAGTTCGCAATAGTCAAAGAAATTGAAATGGCTCAACAAGAACTCAATTCTTCCGCCAATGATGGTGGTGTATCTCCTAGATTATATGAGGTATGTACATATTTAAGTTTTTATAAATGAAAAAATATATTAAAGTACCCGTTAGATACTGGATAAGGTACATTACAATATACTATAAAGACAACACTAGCCAAAACAACACTTAGGGAAACCTATGTTGGGAATCTACTAGCCTAGAAGAGTATACCCGAAGACAGGGGGGCGAAAATGGAAGGTGTTTTTTCTTTAACATTAGCTCGTTACCCATGGTTGAAGCTTAGAGTGTTTAAATCTCAAATGAATGAGTGATCAACAATCGACTAACTTGATGGTGGCCAGGGATGCAAGATTCTATTCAACTGAATTGAGCTTTTAATTTAATAGCATACGATTAACAATAGTTTGCCAATTATTGGAAGGATTAGTTTTGAAAAGATTTGAGATAAAAGCACTCACGTGTTTTATTCCCACATACTATAACTTATGGGTATACTATAACTCATGGGTGGCCAACCACCACCCACCACAGGGCCGGTCCAAACGTATATGGGGCCCGAGACGAAAAGAAAAAAACGGTCCCTTAAAGATAAATATAATAAATATTAAAAAAAATATCATTTATTTTCATTATAAACACGTTCAATTAGCAATAACAAACATATAAAATTGTTTATCTTTTGAGCTAGTTTGATTTTGAACCAACTTTAAGCCTTACAAATCATTTTGGTAATATTTTTTTTATATATATCATTACATAGCCCATAAATTTTGGGCCCCCTGGTGACGTGGACCCTGGGCGGTCGCCCGAGTTGCTCACCGTCTGGACCGGCCCTGACCCACCATTTGGGGATAGTCTTACTGGTCCAAGTGGTTTGCAGGGTATTGCATTGGCTAACAGTTTTTCCTAGGTTAGAAAAGTTAACTCACTTAGGGTTTCCTAAAAAACGTTGGTTTGGTGAAGATGTTATTTGTCCAAAAATAGTACAAATCCATGTCTTAATGTATCTCCTTAACGTCTCCAGGCCTTGAAGACCTTTCTTGATGATGCCGAACGACACCCGTCAGTTACCTACTTCTTTGATGATGTGGTAAATATTTATCAACTCCTATAATTATTATATATTAATTATTGGTTTACTACCCTAACACCATGTACAGAAGAAAGAGAGAAATTATAGTTTACGTTATAACAAAGCATATCAATATGTTTTGCAGAACCAAGATGCAGAATCACTTGTGGCATATTTTCAGGGGAATCCCAAACATCAATCTTTATTAGAAGGTTAGTTGTAATTTTAGATGTCAATTTCTTAATTCTTACCGTATAAAGATTTTTCATAATGTGTACATTATATGTGTGTAGCCATAGAATAAGCAAACAATAGAAGGTATCATGTGAGAGACTCTTATCTACATTAATTGCGACGAACATGCCATTGTGGTAGGAATAGGGTTTTGAGTCTACATGCGAGTAACTATAGTTACTACCTAAGATATTTATCACATGCCCCTGCAAAGACAGCTCATATAACTATTAACTATTACATTGGTCTTTGATTGGGTCAAATATATAGAGAATAGAAGTAACAACAATCCATACTTGCTATCCTTTTTCTTATTTGTAAAAAAATTCTCCTTTCCCTTGTCCCCTTCCAAATCCTTAGTAGTTTTTTTTTTTTTTTTTTTTTTTTTTTTTTAATTTTAATATGTCTCGTCGGTCTAAAAAAAATACAATGTAAGACATACAAGGCTACTTATATTTTTAAACAGTAAAATTTTATAATTATTTTTTTAAACAACTTATACATGTATTATTTTCCTTTTAAATCTACATCTTTCCCCACCAACAAGATTTGAACCATTCATCTTTCTATGATGGGCACCTATTTGTCATCTCTAGATACCACTAAGACAAAGGCCATCTAGTTAACTGTAAACCTTTATGAGATGATAAGGAAGGAGGTAGCAAGAAAAACAAAAATTTTGTAGGTATGAAAGCAATATATATATATATATATATATATATATATATATATATATATATATATATATATATATATATATATATATATATATATATATATATAACTCACACAACCATTGTACCGCTTCGAAAAAATACCTCATCAAAATACCGATTCAAGGCACCAATTCTTTTGTAAATGCCCTAAGGAGTAAGTTCCAACTTGTAACTGTCTATCTATCATATATTACAAAATACTACTTGAAGTTAGCTTATTTTCATCATATCCCCTTCAATTAGACTTGTACACAGCATAACCTTCAATCTTATTACATTCAAACCCCCTATCAAGATCTTTTTACTTGGTTTTATATGCAATTTAGAGGAGTTAACCTCAAATATCCACTTATACCGAAACATTTAATTGTTGCACTGAAGACTGTAACATGGTTGTCTTTACTAACAGACATTTTATTATGGGAGTTGATTCGTACACAACAAAATTTCTCTATACACAATAATGATGTTTTAAAATGTTGTATTGTATAACTCTATTAAATATAAAATGTTGTGTACGGATAAAAACTATTGTGTATAAATCACTTCGTGTATAATACTCATCCATTAAATCAGGGGAGCCATGTATTTTTCTAAATATTTTTTTATTGTTATTGAAATCTCCAAATTTTGTTGTAGCTTTTAGACCAAAAATCATGATTTTATGACTAGGTGGGTAGTCTATATCATACATAATATCATTAAATAATAACTAAACAAAAACTCATGCATTGCGTAGAAATAAAATTATAGTGATTAAAATTATGACAAATAAATTGTGTTGACTAATATAATATAATTATATTATTGATACGTATATAATATTATAAATATTTTTATCATTATTATTAGTTTAGAGTTAATAATTTTTTTATACAAATCATTTCTTCAAATTCTTTGTTACTAATATTTAGTTCTTTTTTATATGATATTAATGTCATCAATCATTTCCTAGCAACCATTTTGATTATTTTGGATGTTAGTTTTGTTGATGAATCATAGCACAACAAAAGATAAACTTCAAGGCAAAATTAGAAAATTAAGAAAACAATATTAAAATCACAAAGAAAATAATAAACTTAAATAATAGAAATAACAACAAACAATAAGTTTCAATTACAAATTAGAGAATTAAGAAACAATAATGACAAACAAAAGCATAAACTCTAATAATAAAATACAATATGTAGAAAAAAAAAATTAAGTTTAACATGAAGAAAGAAAATAGAAAAAACACATAAAAATTATCTATTTGATGAAAATTCATATCAAACAATAATATTATTATTTAAGTTTTATCTCATGAAGTAGAAAGTTTTGTCTTCTTAGCTCCTTTTTCCCAATATTAATTTTAAAATCATAATAATCTAATCATCTATGAACTATATATATATATATATATATATATATATATATATATATATATATATATACTAAATCAACTAATTAATATACTAAAAGTTACAAAAACTCTTGAATTATAATAGTTAATTAATTGAAATGTATAGAGTTTTATTATTAAAGTATTGTTTAATACAATTATAAAATGCCTTTCATTACATTCATTATTAAAAGGAGATTTAAGACTCATTGAAGTTTCAACTGCATAAGAATCAAATATTTTTTTGCCTCTATTATAGTATTTATATAGAGAGATATATATGGAAGTACCCTTTTTTTGCTTTTGTTTGTACCATAAAAGTCTTCACAATAATGAATTTTTCATTGTAAGTGGAGTTAATGCAGACCTTTTTTTTATTATCAAAAGTAACCCCTGAATATCATCAAAAACTCATATGATTCTCTTGTACTTTCTAACAGCATCCTAACGAAACATACATTATCAAGCATGCTTATACTTTTATCTCTTTACATCCTTTCACCATCAACAATCTAGATATATGCACCCTTATTATCGATTTTCTTTTTTTGTTCACTTGCACTAGCCATAGTATGCCTAAGAAACTAACCAAATAGTTTGTCTCACTCAATTTATGTCAATTTATCTTTGTATGTTTCTCTAGCCTAGCTATAGAACCACAGAAACAAAAGTAACCCTTTATATATCTTTCCTCCCTTCTTTCTCTACTATAATGCTTTCTCTATATATATTCGGTCTTGAACCCGCTCTAAAACCAATGTGTTGGACAAAAAGCATTAAAGACAAAGTGTAAAGGAGGGTTCTTATACAACAAAAAAGACATATTGATCACAATTAGTACACACTATTTATAGTACGTTACATATACATACCTATATAACATAATAATCAATTCAACCCTTGGAGGATGCATTGCAACCTTTTAGAGAACCATTGCAACTATTTTACCCCTTCGAGAAGATATCTCTTCAAAATGTCCCTTTAATGCACCGATTCCTTTTTGTAATTGCGCGCCATAAGGATTAACTTCTATAGTTGTTTATCTATCATAATATTAAAGAATACCCATTGAAGTCTAGCTCATTTTCAATAATAGATGGAAGATCCATACAACTAGTTTCTAGGTTGGTACAGGTAGCAAAGCATCCAAAACAATCCTTTAACGATGAATCTATACTTTAATTGGAATCCAACTATTCCACATGGTATAAAGAGCACTACTAGAGAGGTATTTGTCTTATATTTCATTGTGAATCGTAGACATCACGAATTACAGTGACTTGGTTAACTTCCATACTTAACAATCCTCTTTTTTGCTAAGAAAAAACCCATTCCATGGATTTTCCAACTCCCTTTATTCCCTTATCTTTACCTACTCTAAGGTTTCACCTCCAGTCCCAATTAACTATAATATTTTCTATCTAATCCGCAACTTGTCAGGGATTTTTTTCGTATTTCAATGGAACATGTTATGAAACATATGTTAAAGAGGGTCCCCTGTAACTACCTCTTCGTCCAAAAACATGTTGACGGTCGTTTCCATCCTTATTTTACACAATGTCGTGAAAATCAATGCCCATCCCTCTAAATTCATTATGACGTTTAATAATTATCCATGGACATGCATGCATCCTATCGTGTGGTTCTGGACCCATTTTCACCATATCCACATAAATAGTGTTAACCACCTTGATCTTTGATCTTTGTGCACATTCCATCTCTATTTTACCCGGAGACCTTGGTTGGTGGCAAAAAAAACTTCCTACACCCAACATATACTTCACATTGGTCAATGGAATTGGATTCCATCTAACCAATATTTCCTTCTTCTTGGCAGTGTGTATATATATATATATATATATATATATATATATATATATATATATGTGTGTGTGTGTGTGTGTGTGTGTGTGTGTGTGTGTGTGTGTGTGTGTGTTTATACATGTTCAAAGTGACAAAGCACGAGAATGTATGCATTGATAATCAACATATGTTTATACCTTTCGCATTTGATACTTTTGGTTTTTTCGCACCAGAAGCGGTGGAGCTCCTCAATAAAATCGAACAGGTCATGCATGCTAATGTTATATATCATAGATCCACAGATGTTTTCAAATGAATTAGTTTTGTCATCCTGAAAAAGCAAGCCGCGCAGCTTTTTGTTCGTTTGCTTTTTGTCGATATATATTAAATTTTTATCCATGTTCACAGATATTTCAAACCTTTTATCCTACACACATACATATATATATATATATATATATATATATATATATATATATATATATATATATATATATATGTGTGTGTTTCATCCTGACCCATATATATATATATATATATATATATATATATATATATATATATATATATATATATATATATATATATATATATATATGTGTGTGTTTTTCATCCTGACCCATATTTTTGTGATTGCTACCAAACTTCTCAAATAAAAGAAAACTAAGGAAAGAAACCTTAACATATACTCAATATGAACAAGGTTATGTTTGATTATTTTTTTAACGTGAGCTTGACTGGTTAGATGTTAGTTTTAATACTCCAATTCTTGTTAACTCCAAAGATCGAAAAACATTCTCGTAAAATAAGAGGCAATGCCTCTACCGATTAGGCTATTCCCAATTGACAGTTATGTAATTTGATTTATTTTTTTCTTTTTATTGTTCAAAGTTGTCAACTAGATTGCGATAATTCATTTTGTTGGCTAGTACTTTGTTCTACATATATTTCATGTTTTGTTATGTTTTTTTTACAGTTTTAGGTTTGATAGTGGCATTTATGGAGTTGTTCAAGTCCCAACATGTTGCCTTCCAAGAAGCAGAGCATGAGAGACAGGTGGAGGCTGATCGTATCGGAATGGAGGAGAAATTCGCTGTAGAACCCATCACGTTGAGAGTGTTTATGTTGTTGGCAGTGGCAATATTAAAGACATTTGACTGTTCTTTCAAACCATTATAAATAACCCAAATATGTCTTCTTAAGAATATTGCTACGTCTATAATCTATTATACATACGTAAATCTCATTTCATTTTTAGAATTAATATTATTATTTGGATACTAAATATGAACCCAACTAAGATCCTTAAACGAATTTGGGTCTTGAAAATTAAAATTATACATTGTTGAAAAATAAAGCATTAGTGTAGCCTTAAGACTATTTTGTAACTTTAATTATATTTTGGGTACAACTATAGATATTATACTATATTGATATATAAGTCACTAGACATGACTATATGTATATTACAGATATTATACTATATTGATATATGAGTCACTAGACATGACTACATGTATATTACGGATTTAGAGGAACTTGTGGGGAAATCTATAAGCATTGATCTCCTTCAAATTAAGCCTTTTCTATGTAAACACCATTACGTGTTGTGGTTCTAAAGACTTTCACATAAGTTGTTCAATTGATTCATCAATCAAAGAATTATTCAAGGAACGTATTGGGGTCTATAAGGGTTCATATCCTTCAAATTAAACGTTCTCTATGTAATCACCATATCATTTTGTGCAAAATCTATCTATACGGTTTCATCAACAAATATATCCTTACACCAAGTTTAGTACGATCAAATGACGCCACCATCTTCAACTCCACTAATATTATATTTCTCTTCAAGTAAGTATTCTTCGTCCTTGATTTAATGTTTATCAAGTAATTGAGAAATTGATCTTGGACTAAACCTATATATGATATAAGAGCTGATTTAATCTTTATGCCGTTAGTATAAGTTAGGATTTGTTAGATAATTGTTCATAATATTCAGTAAAATGCATCTTTAGACTTTTGTAAGATATTTGTTTGTTTGTTTATTAATTATAATATAAACAATAATTCTCACCTTGTTATAAATTCTATATGTACAAAAAAAGCAAACCCTCTATTTTTTCGTTGAATTTATTGCTTCAGTTGGAATGAGATGAAACTGGCATAAAATCATGAAACTCCCTAAATTTGGAAATTCTCAATTTATAGTTTTGAATAGAAAATTAGAATTAAACGAATTTATATTTGACTAATTGTGAGAACCATGTATTACATGAGTTAATTTAAAAAAAAAAGTAAATATAAATATCAAAATATTTAAGAACATTGAATTTATAAGAAAATAAGAAAAATAATGAATTATTATAGTAGAAACGTTTTTTATATTTTAAATTTAAACAAATAATTTAAATAAAGAAAAGAAACTAATGAGCCTTAATTTTAGAAATTTTAAAATTAAAGGTAAATTGATTAATGAAAATGATATACATTTATTACTACATTTATTCTAATTATTACATTAAAATATTATATTGAATTTAAAAAAATATAAAAACTCATAAAATGATATTTAGAAAAAAAATTAATTTAAAATAACCACAAAATGACATTTGATAATTGAATGAGACTGACAAGTGACAAAAAAATATTCATTTATTAGAGAGGACTAGTTGTGAGACTCATGTACTACATGAGTTAATTTTAAAAAAAAAATTAGATACAAAAATTTAATTACTCGATAACAATTAATGAAATTGATATTTATTTATTGTTATATTTATTGTAATTATTACTGTAATTTAAGTTCCGGTATACCAAAATAAAGACATTTAAGAATTATTTTCCTATCAACATAGATAAATATTATTATTTTATTAATAAAGTTTGTAAGTTTAACTTTATTATAATATGAGATATATATTGAAGGGATATATACAGTAAAATCCCAATATTTTCATCGATTTGACAAGAAAGTCCTAAACTTTATTTTTTTGACAGTAAAGTCCAAATTACCGGTAGTTTTTGACACTTTTACCCTTTTTCCCCGGTTAGCCGGTAATTAGGACTTTTTTGTCAATAAAATAAAGTTTAGGACTTTCTTGTCAAATCGTCAATTAGGACTTTACTGTCAAAAAAATAAACTTTATGACTTTTTTTGTCAAATCGTTCAAAATATTGGGACTTTAGTGAATATATAATTTTTTTGTTAGAAATTTAATGGTATGATACTCTTTAAGCATAAGAGTTATTCAAACATTCTCTAATCAGCTAGATCCTATTGAAATCCTTTACGTTTGCTTCTTGTTAAATCGTTTTTTTAATTTCAACAAACCGACATTGAAAAAAATTGAGATCATTAAGAAAGAAAGAAAGAACCAGGGTTGTGTTGGCTTTTTGCAGTCTCAAAAATGGAGAAATAAGAAACCGAAAAAAACGAAATTGTTTTTCAATAGGATTTAGCTGATTAGAGAATGTTTCAATAAATCTTATGCTTAAATAGTATCATACCATTAAATTTCTAACAAAAAAAACTATATATTCACTAAAGTCGCAATATTTTGAACGATTTGACAAAAAAGTCCTAAAGTTTATTTTTTTGACAGTAAAGTCCTAATTGACGATTTGACAAGAAAGTCTTAAACTTTATTTTGTTGACAAAAAAGTCCTAATTACCGGCTAACCGGGGAAAAAGGGTAAAAGTGTCAAAAATTGCCGGTAATTTGGACTTTACTATCAAAAAAATAAAGTTTAGGACTTTCTTGTCAAATCGATGAAAATATTGGGACTTTACTGTATATATCCCTATATTGAAAAACACGATATGTTATGCATTAAAATTTGCGAAAAAAATGCATATTATCTTTAATGTTTTAAAAAATCTTTATATTAACATTTATAGTTCAAATGAAACTAAAAAACATTCAAATAAAATTAAAAAACGAGTTTTAAGAGAAATTACCGACTAAAATTTGATGTTGCATACATTTTTGTTTTTAAATATGACCTTGAATGCAATTTGCATAAAAGCGATTAGTTGAGAAGGGAAAAACTAACTGTATAGTTCTATACAAAGAACAAAAATCGAGCAAAATAAATAAATAAATAAATAAATATATATATATATATATATATATATATATATATATATATATATATATATATATCCGGTAAGAAATTTTTTTTGGTAGGAAGGTAAAGAGTTTTTTTTCTACATATTTTTTTGACGAACAAAAGAAATGAATCACTAGATGATTCATTTGTAAGATGATTCACAAGAAAAAAATTCTCAAAAAAACATCTTTATGATTCATTTTTAAATAAATTAAGAAAGAATTCACTTTTGTGACAATTTTAGTGAATAAGAACAAAATCATTGTATAAATGAATCATCGAGATGTTTTTTTGAGAATTTTTTCTTGTGAATCATCTTACAAATGAATCATCTAATGATTCATTTTGTTTGTTCGCGAAAAAAATATGTAAAAAAAAAAAACTTCTTACCTTCCTACCAAAAATTTCCTTCTTATTTGATCTTGACTATATATATATATATATATATATATATATATATATATATATATATATATATATATATATATATATATATATATATATATATATATATATATATATATACAAACACACACATGCAAATGAGAAAAAATTTCAAATTAAGAACAAATTTTGACTATTAATTTAAGTATTAGAAATTTAATTTTTCAAAAAACAATATGTCACACACTCATATACAAACTCTCTTTCTCTCTCTTTTTCTCCACACACACACTCATCTTGAAGCAAGATCTGGACCACCATGATATCACTAGACCGCTACCGGAACCAACGTAATGCCACCAGAATCACCGGTTTGGATCCTCTTCACTCCATCCATGTTTGCTTGTTTGTCATCTCCCTCCACCTCCCATCGTCGGAAACTACCTCCTCCACCTCTACACTTACCGCTATTGTACCACTACATGATTCTTCTTGTTCACCACCTTTTATCATCAAATTTTTACAAGATCTTGTTACATCGACGGTCGCCTCTTTACACGCTCTGGATCTAATTGGTTGCCACCTCCATTCGCCTCCCAACGTCGAGAACCACTTCCTCGCATCTCCTCTTCCTGAAATGTTACCAACGTCAGTGATGACATTTCATCTACCACCACCAATAGATCTGGTTTCCTCGGATCTGAAGAAGAAGAAGAAAGCTACCAGTTCTGGTTGCAGCGACCACCATCGTCTCCATCATAAACGATTTCTAAAACCTGAAACCTTATTTGAGCCTTTTTGCGAGCCTTCGTCCACTTTTTGACAAGAAAAAGAAAGGACGTCGGATTTGTCGCCTGGAGATGATAGGAATGAGCGAAAGTTATTGATAATTTCTATAACTTCAACAATAGTGGCGACATTATATATTTCTCTTTGTTTTGGCTGGTACAAAACGAGTGAGATCTAGAGGATTTGAATCTTCATTATCACCAGAAAAGAAAGCTTTGCCTGAAGAGATAGTCACTAGAGATGAATGGGTCGTCAGAAGAGAAAGCTACTGCCTGCTTTGGAATTCGTCCGTTTATCTTGTGCTTATGCATTGTTATGAAGAGGTTAGACACTTTGACTCTCTATTAAGGGTACATTGTATTATTATTATCATAACAATGAAAGAGATTAAAATTTAAAGGTTTGATGTAACATGACCAATCTAATATAATTTTATACACAATAACTTTTCACCAGGCTAATAAGGGATATATACAGTAAAGTCCCAATATTTTCATCGATTTGACAAAAAAATCTAAAACTTTATTTTTTTGACAGTAAAGTTCAAATTACCGGCAATTTTTGAAACTTTTACCCTTTTTTCCCGGTTAACCGGTAATTAGAACTTTTTTTATCAAAAAAATAAAGTTTAGGACTTTCTTGTTAAATTGTCAATTAGGACTTTACTGTCAAAAGAATAAAGTTTAGGACTTTCTAGTCAAATCGTTGAAAATATTGAGACTTTAGAGTATATGTAATTTTTTTGGTTAGAAATTAAGTGTATGATACTCTTTAAGCGTAAGAGTTATTGAAACATTCTCTATCAGCTAGATCCTATTGAAATTATTAATGTTTGCTTCTTGTTAAATCGTTTTTGTAATCTCAACAAACCGACATTGAAAAAAATGGAGATA